CGGCAGCTGGAAGAAAAGGAGGACACTGCACACTTTTTTTTTTTTAATGAAGGTCACCGTGTTGCCAAAAATGGGGCCGACTCTCCAGAGTGGGAATTAATGAAGGCGCCGCCTTTAGAAACGCCATGTGAGTCACGGCTGGAAAAGACCAGTTAGCCTTCATCCCACTTCGCGCCCGAGCAATAGAACATGGAGTTTCATTAAGAGTATGTCAACCATTTTGGTAGATTGATACATTAAAAAAAAAGGAATTTCATGTTGAAGAGAGAGAGAGAGAGAGAGAGAGAGAGAGAGAGAGAGAGAGAGAGAGAGAGAGAGAGAGAGAGAGAGAGAGCACTTGCGGCGAAGCCGCCCCCACGAAGACAGCAAAGCATGAATCTCATTTTCACCCACAAAGGCAGCACTTCATCACCGGGCCATGGAATCTCACTGGTCAGTAAGTCAAGTGGCTCTGTGCACGTGGGGCACGTCACTAAAGACGAAAACTGAAGAAAATGAAGTTCCACGCTACCTCAACATGACAGTTTTGCGTTGAAGTCAAACATGGCCGATGGCAGTTTGACTTTTCACCGAGGCCTCAGCACAAACGCTTGTTTGCAAGCGTCTGTCAGAGCATTGGTGGTTTTTTTCCCCCCTTCAGCCTTCCTTCCACATGTCCAGACAGGACGGTCGTAAATTCCTCGAAAGTGACTCTAGCAGTCCAAGACGAAAAGTCGAAAGGCAGACGTCTTGACATCATGGCTGAAAACAAAAGTGTGCTCACTGAACATTCAAGATTAGCTTTCTACTCGCCACGAAGGTCATCTGCGCTGCACTGGCAGGTTACGCTTTGCCGATTCATTCAGTTCAATCGAGTAGCACGAGTGTGGCCACGGACTGAATTACTCGACAAGGTACCCGAGTTCTCATTTTCACGACGGTCGCCTCCGGAATCTTCTCAATCTCCGTCCCGAATAATAGCCAAGAATTTGAGACCCGTGTGCCATATTGACCCAAATGTTTTTGTGGGGAAATACGTAAGGCTTGTCAATTTCCAGCGACCGAGTAGCCGGCGCGAATCCCGATCGAGACACTCTGATTAAGGGATTACGCCAGCCATTGACTTCCAAAGGATGGGCCGGGCTAGCCCGCCGGAAAAAAAGAAAAGGTGCTCTTCACGGAGCAACATGACAAGATTCCCATCAAAATGTTTCAAAGAGGAAAACGCACCGTAGAAGTTTCAATTTTTTTTTTTTTTTTGTGTCAACAGAAAAAAAAAAAGGCCTTCTGGAGGAACACTTTGGACAGAAAATCGGGTCAAAAACAGAAGACCGTAACTTGATTATTTCCCCGACATCTCTCCAGGTGCCTTTTGTCCCGCCTCCTCCAGTTGACTTGATCAGTTCCAGTTAAAAGCATCCAGCAATAAAAACCGAACGGGCCGAAATTTCCAAGTCAAAATTGCAGATAAAGGTGTACTTCAGAGCCCCGCCATTGGATGGCGCCAGCAAAAGCCACAACATCATACATTTGGAACAGTGGTGTTTAATGGTCAGAATGTTCCATCCATCTTTGCAGGTGATTTGTAGGTGGGGAGCAGGTGGGGGGGGGGGTGTTGACTGATGAGTGCTGATGATTCCAGAGGGGTTAAAGTGGGTCAACTGGTTTCAAGCCCCCGCCTATAAACTGGAGTAGCCCAGAAAATAGCCCGGGGCATCGAGCAGGGTAACCCACTTGAAGTGTGGCCACGGTCAAAGGACGACGGCGGATTTAGATTTGGCGAGCTGTCAGCTGGCCTTCTCATACTGCGTGCCCGAAATCCTCTGCAGGAAAAGGAAAGGGGTGCTTCAATTTAGGTTTTTTTTTTTTTTTTTTTTTGCAAAAAGTTGCTCCAGAAAGGCCCACAGCCGCCTCGGAGCGGATACGCTCTCTCGGGGATCAAATCTCCCGGCCTCTTAGTGCTCCGATTAAACAGTGAAAAGCCAGCAGACAGACAGACAGACAGACAGATGGCCGTGTGAAGGGGAAAAAAAAAAAGGACTTGAGTCCTCACATTCCAAGTACCGGAATGTACTGCTGGTTTACGCGCAGACGAGGGAAAGAAGTACAAACGGACACTGGATGTCCTTTTTTTTGTTTTTGTTTATGTGCTACCTAGGTATGCGTGGACCAAGTTAGTTTTTTTTTTTTTTAAATAAACTTTTTTTCCTCCAAAAAGGTGCCACAAGATGATGGCAGAGTATTGCATATGTCTCAATGAAACATAAAGAACAAGATGCTACCAGATGGCACAAAAGAAAAAAAGAGGAGTTCATTTTTTTTTTTATGCAAATTGAGGAATGCCAAACCGTGAATTTGCAGTTTTTCCTCTTTATCTGTTCAGAAAGAATTTTCTATTTGAATTCGGATCTCTGCAGAAACAAAGCAAAGCCCACAAGGAAAAAAACAAACCATGAGCAAAACTCTTTTGAATTATGTCTCGGTAAAAAACGAAATCCGGGACTTTATTTGAAGGCCACATGGGGGGGGGGGGGCCCGCTCGAGTGTGAAACTAGTTCATCTCGAAAAGGGGGTCACTTCATTGCCATACACGTGAGATGCTCCGCTTTGCTGTCAAAATCGTCTTCGCTGTTTATATCCTGTCTGAATAAAAACAACAACAAACCCTTGCTCATTGTCCAAACAGCCTCCGGAGCGAGCGAATAGATCAGGTCGACGACATCAATATTTGGCGCAAGAGCGTCCCAACCGCCTGAGAAAATCCTCATGAAGCAAGCCTGTTGGTGGTTCCCCCACGAAAGCCACTTTGCAACAAGCGTCGCTTCGGCAGACATTAAACAAACGATGGGCCAAAAAGAGGCTTCAAGTCAACTCTGCTAGCTTAATGCTAGCACATGATGCGAAACACCATAGACGGGCTAACGAAGAGTATCTACGGCAGCGCTGTGGCAACCCGATGCGTGGAACATATCCTCTGCCATCACCAGAGATCGACTTTTGAAGCTCACCGGCCCGATTTCCACGCAGTTCCGTCAACGTCACATCCATCAGCCGGCCTCCGCATCCATTGAACCGCTGAACTCTCCTCTCGCAGAACTCTATTATTAGCCGTTCAGCCCGGAGACAAACTAATGACGCGTCGGATGAATCAGCAGACCCGCTGCCTGCGACTCGCAGCGCTAGCCATTAGACGTCCGCGTAGGCCGGCGCGTTTTCACGCTAAAGAAGCCCCGCGAGTCACGAGGGAACGGCAACGAAGCGCGCGCGGGCAAAGGGAAAACAACCGAGACAACTTAACGAACGATGGCCACTGATGAGTCGATATCGTAAAAAGTGTCACGTTGGGAGTCTCGCCTTTGGCGTGTTCACGAAAAGCGTTCACGTGTTCTTGGCCGATAAAAGCGTTTCATCACAATTGGCCGACATCACGGCGTGATCAAATATTGGTATTCGCTATTGGCCGCCGCCCCCCCGGTACGCGTACTCCTACTGCAAAGTGGTCAGCGCTAAAAATACTTTTATTGGATTTTGTCGTTGGCTATGGAGAAGTTCGAAAAGAAAAAGCGGAAACAAGACAAGCCGAGCCAAAAAAAAAAAAAAAAGCAGAAGCACAGAATGTGCAACTCACGACTCACAGTAAAGTTTACATCCCAAGCACATTAGCGAGGCGCTCGGCTGACCTATAATTGCTTTTCCCGAGAGGGCGGCCGGGCTGTTGCCGTGGCAACTATTGTCGGCGGCGATGCAAGGTTGAGTCAAAGCGAACGCATTGGTGATGCGTGTTGTTGTTTGGCGGCTTCCTTCCAGCACAACGCTGCTCAACGCTGACGGACGTGTTGACGGACTCGAGTGTTTGGGGACTTTGGAAGAATTTGGAGAGCAAATAAGGAGCCCGCCCGCCCATTAAGTGTGCTTTTGAAAATCATTTCTCAGATGCCCATAACGGGAAATTAGAGTTGCAAACAAAAATTATTTCAGGAATCGATTCATCCGATGATTTTTAATGATTTTAATTTTTTTTCAATGAACTGATGACTTGGATATAGAAATCGATATTCAACTCTTCAGTCACTTTGTGCAAAAACCGGACCGCGCACAGCATGTACATGCAAATCAATGATTCGGTCGCTTATTTGCTCCGAAATTAGTCAGCAAAACATCTTGAGGATGCAGATGTTTTCAAATGCCTTCCCTTGATTGGAGACAAAGATAATTCTGCTTTTACGGGGGACTGCAGAAATCACTTTGCAAGGTTAGTTAACCGTTTTGGGGATCAGAGGGTTTTTGTAGTTCTAATGTCTGCCTCCTCCACTTGCAGTGGTGTGAATAAACGCCCCCAGGCACTATTTTAGGAAACACAATTCACTGTTTTAATTTGATAATCAGACTCCAGGGTTGATTGCTCCTGAATCCCGCTGACCTTCATTTCACCGGGACCACTCGACAACCACTTCGCAGACACCAGATGGTCAAAAATGCTTTTTGCTCAGCCAGAGAGAGAGGCAGAAGACAGAAATAAAACAACGAACGAATGAAGTTTTCCCCTGGATCGAAACGGAAGAATTTTGGTGGGAAGCCCGTTCGAAAAGCCAGACTGGGCCGCGTCCAACGCGGCCGAAGCAACTTGAGCCAGAACTGCGTTTCGGAGACTCGCTGACATCAGGGTTTCCCCGCCCGCTCAATGGGCGACAGCTCAGTCAAAAGGCCAATGTTTTTCCAACTTTGTTTGCCCAAACCAAAGACTGGCACATGACCGGGCCAAAGAATCTTCACTGCAAAGAAAAAAGTGGAGCTATCGGGCTTTCGGGGTAACATTTCAGGATGATCTTTGCAGGCCAATTGAATTTAACCTTTTGGAAATGTTTTTAATACTTTTTGCACAACTTTGGTGGTTTAGAAAAAGGAGCTGAATGACAAAATCCCCGACCGATGAACCTTTCTGTGACTCGTCCAGTCTCGAGCTCGCTTCGCTCTCTCTTGCTCTGTTGCAACCTGCTGATAAAACAGAAATCTGTTTTTTGGCCTGTTTGACCGCCTCTTCTCTTCCCCCCCCTCCTCCTGCCCGGATTGACTTGAAAGCCCGAGTGGGGGATGGCAAGAGAAGTGGCAGCAAAACAGGCCAAAAGTATGCGGTTCATCAGCAGCTTGCAACAGAGATACAGAAGGACTGGAAGAGTCACAGAAAGCCAGAGATGTCCTTGGAGAAAATAAAAAGATTTGGAATTTTGCCATTCATCTCTTTATAGAGAAGAGCGAGAAGTACTTCACCTGTAACTTTTTGAGACGAGTTCAATAACGATGCAAAGGGGACTGAATCAAATGAGCAACACCAGGAACAACAACAACAACACTATTTGTGATGCATGACCGCAGAAGCGGGAACAGGAAGTCGACCCGGCCGCCGGTCGTGGCCCCAAACGAGCCAGGGCTTGTCGTCACCCCGACGGAGGAAGCGAAGAGGGTGGAGTCGCGCTTTGGGGTTCCACACAATAATAACGCGGTGGCGCTGGTCAGGAAGGAAACGGCCCGCCTGCCTTCAAGGTCTCTTCCGCACAATGTTGAAGCCAAATGCTAACGTGATAGCCTTGACGGGAAATAGGATGTTACAGCGGATTACGAGATGGTGTGCTAGCAGTTAGCATGCCTGCCTCACGGTCAAGAGGTTCTAGGCTCAAAGCGCAAATCTAGAAATGAAGGTCTTACTAGCATCACTCAAATTTTGTTGACAGAGCAGACACAGACATTAATCACGTTGTGCTTAAAGTGGACAACTTCGGATGAACTCAAACAGCCTGCGCAGGATGCGTCCAATTTGCTCCGACACCCTCTCAATAACACCCGAGACTGCCAAACTCCAAATCGTGGAACAGACAATTTCGCACGTCCGTCCGACTGACTGACTGCGGTGTTAATTCTCTCAACTCAGCTCTCATCGACGACTCTTACAGATTCCTCGGTTGTTTCTCCACGACTGGTAGGTTAGGTTTCAGTTAGGAGTGTGGATGCTCGTCTGTCTATCTGTAAGCGTCCCGTGATCTACTAGCCTCAAGTCCCGGGCTGATTACAGTTCTCTCGCCAAAACCTCAGCTGGCCTAGACTCCATCTAAGGTGCGACTCTAATGAGGACAACTGCAATAGAAAATCAATGGATGGGTGCATTTGCATGTTACAAACCACCTACTCGTCCCCTGTGAGTTTCATTATTAACCCCTGACACACATGCTCTGCAACGCCGCTGGAGTACCCCAGAGCACCTCCACATGCCCACGAGATGTTTAAAAGAGAGGGAAAAAAAAAAAAGCTCACTCCTTTGCGGACACGAGTGCGGTGCGGGTGCCCTAGATGAGTGCTTGCCTTGCCAGCACACTTCTACCGGCACCTATTTTGGATTCGAAACGAGGCCAGCATCTCATTTTCTCACTTTTTTTGCTCTGCCATTTTTGCCAAGTGTGCTCACACACACACACACACACACACACACTCTTGCAGTTTAATCCAGTTTGAACTGCACACTACATTATGTAAGAAGTGCATCAAGAATGCATCTTGTGTTGCATTTTTCCTGTGTGGAATTTGCCAAATGGAGGCAAATAACTGAAACGCTGGGGTTATTTTTAGCCTCTGAGAAGATGATGGTCTTCCTCCCCCCCACCCCCTCCTGTGCAATGACGTCGGCATGTTACGCAAAATCGGGGGTTCACCTTTGGTTCCCCCCCCCCTCCCTCCTCAAGTGGCTCTGCAGCACGGCTGAGAATAAAGTGAGCAACTGAACGAATACAGTATTTTCAAAAAAACAAAAACATTATGCAACTCTTTTGGGGGGAGGGGACACACCCAGCGCGGTTGGGAGGTTAGCGGGCATGTGAACTACACCCAGCCCGGGTGGCCCCCCCGGCCCTTTTCCACGGCTTCACCCTAAAAACGAGCAACATGCACGTATATCAAGCAGAAAAGTGTCCACTTAACTATTTGTAGAGGTGCTGCAGACACAAATCGAGGCATTCCCCTTCCACCTCGTCCTCGCACACCAAGTCGGTCAAGGGGCGGGAGGGCAGCGGGTCGCTGTCCTGCAGAGGAGGGCTCATCTCGCGGAGAAAGAGCTCCAGGAACCGTCGGAAGGTTTTCTCCTCTGCTGCACAGCCGGCCATCATTGCTCATTCCTGGACACGCTCGCACTCGCAGCTCCGCCCGTCGCTTCGCTTCGCTCGGCTGGAAACACAAGCGGCAATACGCTGGCCCGAAGTCGACGCTGCAATTTTGTTTTTCGGGGCGGGGGCGAGCTTCCGAGCTTGCTGGCGCCCGATGGCGGAGGGTATACTACCTGCGTGTGGAGCGAAGAGACAAGGGAGGTGTTAGCGAACTGATTTGGCGAAGTGTTGGACTGCCCCCATTCACCACCGAGTGGGAGCGCGCCGCGCTTGCTGGGATTTCGTCGGATCGGAAGGACGTGACGTCACGGGTGACGTTTTCGCGCAGGGCGAGAACGCGCACGCACATTTGCCATTCTTGGTACAGTATTAATTTTTTTTTTGTAATGTCCACGGACAAAGAGAATACAAGAAGCAATATATTTCAGGTTAAAACTAGTAGTAGTAATAATAATAATAATAATCTGGTCCAGAAAAGAAACGTAAAAAATATATACGAACATTTATCAGTTTTATTTTGTTTAGTCTCACAAATAAAGACACTCCAATCTCTATAGTTGTTGATGACATACTATTGCTAGAGCAAAAACCTTTTGATGACATTAACGTCGTCGTAGTCGAAACATGTTACATAAACCGTGTAGTAAATTTACGCGTTTAGGAACTGTGTACATTTTTGTCTCCTTTGTATCCAGTCGGACATTTTAGCTCTCGAACCCAGAAGTAGAGTCGGTGTGTCACTATTTTGATGCCCCCTCGCTCTTTTTGTTTTGGTCGGTCCAAAACAAAATGAAGGCGGACAACATGGCAGCCGCCGTGAGCTTGGAGGCGCTCCTCCGCGCGGGCGTCTCGGAGGACGCCGATCACCGGGACGACGGCCTGTGCGTGGTCGGAATCTTCGGCAAAAGCAACATGCAGCTGGGCGCCCTCAAGGAGTCGCTCGTCAACACCCTGGCGGACAAACACGTCTTCTCCGCGTTCGGCGGAGCGGACGACGGGGGCACCGGATGCGGCGGCATCCAGGCGCTGTACAACCCGGACAACCGCGTCTTGTATCTGCTGCTCACCTCCGTGTGCGACGGCCGCCAGCTGCTGCTGCGGGCTTGCCGATCCCCGAGCGCGGGCAGCGGCCACGCCGACGCGCACGACTTCTGGAAGGGGCTGGAGCGGCAGCACTGCCTCGGCCTGCTCTACTTATTCTCCGTGTGTCACGTCCTGCTGCTCGTCCACCCCAACCACACGTTCGACGTCACCTACGACCGTCTCTTCCGAGCCCTGGACGCCCTGAGGCAGAAGGCGCTGCCCCTCCTCCGGGCCGCCGTCAAGGACTGCCCGGTGTCCAAGGAGTGGAAAGTCAACTGTCGGCCGTGCCCGCCTCGGCTCCTCTTCGTTTTCCAGATGAGCGGAACGCTCAAGGTCCACCATGTGCATGCACACCACACATGCCATAAAATGTTCAGCCCGCACATTACAGTATGGACTTTGTGTTTGCTTTTAAAAAAAAAAAAGCAGCTAACGTTTCTTGATGCGTTCCTCTCCAGGTGCCCAACGGCTCCGAGGCGAGCATGCACCCGGACAAGCCCAAAAAGCACTCGCCCCGGCGGCGCCTGCAACACGCTCTGGAGGACCAAATCTACCGCATCTTCCGCAAAAGTCGCGTGCTGACCAACCAGAGCAGCAACTGCCTGTTCACCGTGCCCGCCAACCAGGCCTTCGTCTACGTGCTGCCCGCCTCAGACGAGGACCCCGTGGGTGCCTTGCTGAGCCAGCTGCGCTCCAACTGCATCCTGTGCGAGCAGGACTCGGGCGCGCTGGTGTCCGGCCCTCGCCGCTACCAACAGATGCGGCGCTCGGCCCGGCAGGGCGCGGCGGAGCAGTCGGGCGTGGCGGCTGTGGGGGGCGCGGTGCCGGCCGACTGCAGCTTGAAGGAGTTTCTGTGGCAGCACGTGGAGCTGGTTCTGACCAAAAAGGGTTTCGACGACAGCGTGGGACGGAACCCGCAACCGTGCCACTTTGAGCTGCCATCCTACTCCAAGTGGGCGCAGGTCAGATATAAAGTCTACCGACACCCCACCCCCTTCGAAAAAAATAAATCAATCGAAGCTTTTTTGAGCACGAGTGTGAGCCGTGGGGGCCCAACCGTATGGATTTTTGGAGGTCGCAGCTGATAACCAGCTGGTTGATCAAATAACTGCATTATGAATAAAAACTTTTTTCTTGGTCCTGTAACACGACAGGCAGAACATTTGACAATGTTTTTTTTTTTTCTTTGTTATTTGTGCACGAGGATAAAGCGGTTCAGCTACTGGATGGATAAAATCAGCTCACCAATTAAATCGGCCGGGCCCTACCAGTAACCTTTCCGACTCAATTGAAAATGGTTTTTACTCTCCGAAACCGGCACAGGTGGCGCTAAAGCTCCACCAGGCGCTGGTGGGCGGCGGCGGCGGCGACGACGACGACACGGCCGAGCTGGCGGCCAAGGTTCAGGTCCAGCTGAAGGTGCTGGACGGGTTTCTGGACGCCGACGCCAAGTTCTCGGACAACCGGTGCCAGAAGGCGCTGCCTCTGGCCCACAGCGCCTACCAGGCCAACCTGCCGCACAACTACACCACGGCCGTGCACAAGAACCAGCTTGCGCAGGCGCTGCGTGTCTACAGTCAGCACGCACGCGGTGTGGCCTTCCAGCGCTACGCCCTGCAGGTCCACGAGGACTGCTACAAGTTCTGGAGCAACGGGCACCAGCTGTGCGAGGAGCGCAGCCTCTCCGACCAGCACTGCGTTCACAAGTTTCACCTTCTGCCACAACCGGGTAAGCCCAAGTTGTTTTGTTTTTTTTTTTCCTCTCTTCGCTTCAAGTTAGCCAGGCAACAAGCTCCTGCAAAATTTTGGTCCGGATGCAACAGCAATTTTTCAATTTTGCTAGGAGAGACAACAGACATGGATCACAACCCGCCCATTCTCAACCACAACAGCAGGGGGCGCTCCACTGGCTCCTGCAACTGCGGAAGGAAGCAGGCTCCCCGCGAGGACCCCTTTGACGTTCAGGCGGCAAACTACGAGTTTTACCAGGTCTGGAGTGGCCAACGGAGATGTTATTGTCTTCTCATTGAAAAATATCGGTCTTGAATGATAACATTTGGAAATGTACGCTTTTCATCTATCGGTTAATTATACACACACACACATCTGCATATTTGGTTTTAATTTGGCGCTTTTAATTTTCGATGCAAATTTGGAAAGAGTAAAGAATGCGTGATTTTTGACGCAGAAAATGTCACACTCGTTTCCCCCCCAAATTTCTTGGTTGTGCAAAGAGCTCTTACCTCCCATCGTTGTGGTCGTGCAGGCCCTGGAGGAGAAATGCTGCGGGAAACTGGAGCGGATCAACTTCCCGATCTTCCAGCCGAGCACTCCCGACCCGGCCCCGGCCAGCAACCGGGCGCAGCGCCCCCCGTGCGAGGCCGACGCCGACCGTCTGAAGGAGCCCGGCGCCGCCCACAGCCACACGCCCGGCGACACCAGCCTGAGCCTGGCACTCAGCCTGGGCCAGTCCACCGACAGCTTGGGCCCTTACGCGGACGGCGACTCGGCTGCCGCCGCCGCCCCCGACGGCGGCCAAGTCCAGCAGAAGCGTCCCAGCCTGGCTGACCGCCAGCCCTCCACCGTGGAGTACCTCCCGGGTATGATGCACTCGGGCTGCCCCAAAGGCCTCCTGCCGAAATTCTCCAGCTGGTCGCTGGTCAAACTGGGCCCGGCCAAGTCGTACAATTGCCACAAGGGGCTGGAGCAGCCCGGCTTCCTCCCCGGCGCCTCCTTCCTGCTGCCGTGGGACTTGGTGATCCGCTCCCGCTCCGAGGACGACCCGGCCGAGCCTCTGGACGGGGGCGCGTCCTCCTGGCCGGCTCCCAACAAGATGCTGGTGGGAAAGCGAGGGGGCGCGGGCGGGCCCAGTCGGAGCCGGCGTCGGGACGACACGGCGCGGGCCTACGTGGGCTTCGAGTACGAGGACGGCCGAGGGCGGCGCTTCATCGGCTCGGGGCCCGACAAGATCGTCAAGGTGCTGGGACCGGGCGGCGCCAAGGAGCCCGCCGGCAGGGTGCTCAACGGCGACATGCCGCTCTACGTGCCGTCGCCCTCGCAGGGGCGAGGGGTCAAGCCGCACTTTGCTCAGCTGCTGCGGCTTTTCATCGTGGTGCCCGACGCTCCGCTGGAGGTCACCCTCAACCCGCAGGTAAACGCTCGACCAATCTTCAACGGCTTTCTTGAAGGGAGAAGCACAGAGAATACAATCAAATAAAAAGCATGCACCTCCAAACTCTGTAACATTAATTTTGGAGGGGCTCCTGAATATCTACAATCTACAATTTTTCTGTACACATAAAAAGTGGACGTCCCTGCAAAAAAAAAAAAAAAAATGGCCGCAAAATGACAAATTCTCATGACATTCATGTCTTTCGCAGGTGCAGCCCGGTCCGCCGCCCTGCCCCGTGTTCCACCCGGAGCAGACGGACTTGGTGCTGCCAGCCGACGGCCTTTGGGTGCTGCGCTTTCCGTATGCGTACGCCACCGAGATGGGACCCTGCTACCCGCCCAAGGAGAACCAGCCCCTCGCCCACTACAAAGTGCTGCGGGGAATCCTGCGAGCCGCCGCCGCCGCCAACGCGCAACCTCAAGAAACCCTCCGCTAATGCGCAATCTCGCAAACGGCCGCGCGGGGGCGCCAATTGTTTCAGTATTCTCCAATCGCCAACCGGAAATGCTCTTGGACGTTCACCGTTTCTTGATTGTCAATCAATCTGTTTCGAATGAGCATGAACCGGGAATGTATTTTGACAATTCTTTTGTATATATCTATAACCTCGGCAAGTATCTGATTGTGACATGGATAGCTTTAGAGTTGGAAATGACACACGGGAGTTAAGTCGAAGAACTTTTGGGGGGGGCTCGTCCATGAAAAGTGGTTGCCATTTTGAAATGCATACTTCAAGATTAAATGCAAATAAATTGAGTTGAAAAGTTGAATGCAACTGAACCGTACTGCAGGGGTGCTGCTTTTTTTTATTTTATTTTTTTAACTGCTTTGCAGTTTGCCTTCCGTTTTATGAATACCGGGAGGCCTCAAAAGGAAGCTGACTATTTTATCTGAAAGTACGCAGAGTACAATGACCCTGTGGCTTTGATAAGCAACACGGAAACGGGGCAGTGTTAAGCCTTTGTGTGTAACATACACACACACACACACACACACACACACACACACGCATACACACACACAACCTGAAGGAATGTAGCCAATAACAAGGTGGTTAATAACAAAGCTGGCCCTTCAAGGTCATCAAGTGGGACGACAGGAGCACAAGTGACGTGAGATCAAGTGTTGTGTTTTGTTTTTCTCCACATGGCATTTGACAGTTAAAAACACAAGCACTTTTTGTTTGTTTCCTTTTTTTTTTTCCTTCAGATTCTCCAACACTTTCTTCCCGTAGCAACTCATTTCAAACGCAATTCATATGACCCTGGGTCAAACTGTCTCCATCATAAATGTTTTGACTGACTGTCAGGCAATGTTTAAGAAACATTTTAGCATGACTAACCACCAACAAAGACTTGAAAAAAAAAAAAGAAAATTGCTCTACAAGCTAAAACTCAACTTACAAAAAAAAGAATGACTATAACAAATGTATTGGGACGCTGCGGAAATGTCCCTGAACATTCCTGTGTATCTTCCCTTAAAATCATTGCGCAAAAAAAAATAAAATAAAAGCAAAAGGCACACGGCAATCTTCCATTCAGAGGACGATTCGATTTGAAAGTGGAACAATTCCGTTCGACTCATTACGATGTGATCGGATAGGGGACGGCTCAACTGAGGGGGTATGATGCAGTTACTTTTTTTTTTTTTGCTGTCATCCTACAAACGTTTGAATTAACTTGTCAGTACTGTAAATGTGCGATTTCCTTCCAATATATATCCCGCCAATAAATGATGATCCGATACGGGTCTCAATATATTTCAAAGTGGAACGATTCTGATCTTAAATTTAAAAAAAATAATAATAATAACATCCTCCGGTTCAAACTTGTTTTTGGGTCACACACCCCACTAGTAACCTTTGAAGAATAACGTTTTTGATTGCAGGACCACTATTTAGCATTTACTTGGTGACCTTCGGAGTAGGATTGACGTAAATCTGGGCCGGTGTTTAAAGCCACAACAAGCGTACAAAAAAAATGCCAAAATATCACGTCTGTCCGGAGGGGCTTTTTTTTTTTTTTTTGCCCCCCACCCCCTCCAGGTGGACAGGTACAAGAGAGGAGAGGCGGGAGGAGGGGGAATTACTGGATCATTTCCACAGTGTGCTAAAGTTCACTTGGCGAGGCGGGACAAAAGGAAAAAGAAGCTCCTTGGACGACGACGACGACGACGACAACCGAGTGGCGATGTTGACGGACGAGCGTCATTACGCACGGGAGGACTTCCAAGAAGACGACGCGTTCAAAAGGTGAGAAAGGCCACAAATTCACCAGCACGATCTCGGACTATGTTCTCCTGCAATGGTTTACGACACTAAAATTACCTTTCAACCCCCCCCATCCAAAAAAAGGGCAATCGTTGACGCAAGACGGACTGGACCCAACACATTTGGGGACTTCTGGGAGGCGTCCCTTTTTCAAAATTATGTGATTTTTTTTTTTTTTTTTTATTATCTGGAAGAAAATATATGGTAGCAGCTAAGCAAGACTATATTGAGGCAGTTCGACAACAGGGCCAAACGATTTCGGAAAGTAATTGAATTGCAATTTGTTTTAATGAGTTTTAGAGGGGCCGTGGGTGCACTCAACAGCAGTGGGTTTTTTTTCCAAATTAGTTTAGTTTTTTTTTTTTTTTTTTGAAGTAGACTGCACTGATTAGCATTTTCGCAGATGATTAAAAAAATGTAGAGGGGCAAATACTGTAAAATGGAAAAAAAATATTCCCACTTTGTTGTATTTTTACAGTTTAATTTTTAACCCTTGAGTGATTACAGCTGGAACTAATTGACTATTTCTTCAGGTCAAACTCTACAGTAGCTTATCGTCTAATTATTTACAGTGAATACTTGTGTGTCAGCTAGCTATACTTGTGTGTCAGTTCAAGTTGAAAATACATGCTACTGCCACCAACAGGACAGAAGTAGAACGAGTCAAACTGCATCGTTATCGACTTGTGTAGTGGACAACAGTGATGGAGAACGTGCGCGAGCTACGAGGACTTAAGCAAGACCGCGACAAGCCAAATAGCCAAATAGCTAATGTCGTCTTCTGGATTTGTGTCGATTACTTTTTGACAGTCAACAAATTTCAAACATGCGCCGCTGACTGCAGGACTTCGGAGGAACCGCAGAAATGTCATCTTTCTGATTTGTTGACACTTACAGGACTCAAGTTGAACCGCAGCTAGCTAAGCGGCCAAACGTCATTTTTTTATTTATTTCGACAAGTTTGAAAGTGCGCGAGTGACCCCTTAAGGACTTGGGGGGAACTACAACAGGTCAAAACCGTTTAAAAGTGACTTCACTGGCACGACAACAAGCCAAAGAAATGCGGTCAGTGATTCTTAACGCAGTTATTGCTGTTTTTTTTTTTCCAGTTCGTCCTAAAGTCGTAAAGAGAGGCCGCATCTAAACCTGCAGCGTGATGGCGGTGAGGAAAGCGGAAGTCCGTCGGCGCATCGTGTCCAAAGACGGCCACAACAACGTGCGCATCAACAACGTGGAGGGCATGGTCAAGCTGTACCTGCACGACATCTGGACCACGGTGGTGGACATGAAGTGGCGCTACAAGCTCACCCTGTTCGCCTCCACCTTCATCATGACGTGGTTCATCTTCGGCGTGTTCTTCTACTTGATCAGCATGGGCAACGGCGACTTTGAGGCCACCCTCAGCTCCAACCACACTCCCTGCCTGGAGAACGTCAAGACCTTCACGGGGGCCTTCCTCTTCTCTCTGGAGTCGCAGACCACCATCGGTTACGGCTTCCGCTACATCACCGAGGACTGCCCGCTGGCCATCTTCACGTTGGTGGCCCAGCTGGTCATCACCGGGCTGGCCGAGATCTTCGTCACGGGGGCCTTCCTGGCCAAGTTGGCGCGTCCCAAGAAGCGAGCCGAGACCATCAAGTTCAGCCGCTGCGCGGTGGTGTGCCGCCGGCAGGGGCAACTCTGCCTCATGATTCAGGTCGCCAACATGCGCAAGAGTCCGCTCATCCAGTGCCAGCTCACCGGCAAGCTCTTCCACGCCAACGTCACCCAAGAGGGCGAGAAGACCCAAGTCCACCAGACTTCGGTGAACTTCTTCGTGGACTCCAGCAGCGAGTGCCCGTTCCTCATCCTCCCGCTCACTTTCTACCACATCCTGGATGAGCGCAGCCCCTTGGCCGGGCTCAGCGCCGAAAATCTGCACAGCCGCGAGATGGAGCTGCTGGTGACGCTCAACGCCACCATGGAGTCCACGGCGGCGACGACTCAAAGCAGGACGTCCTACGTGCCGGGCGAGATCCTCTGGGGCTACGAGTTCAAGCCGGTGATTTTCGCCACGGCCGGCGGGAGATACGTGGCAGACTTCAACTTCTTTGACAAGGTTCAGGTCAGCAGCGACGCCGCGTTCCTCAACAACGCGGAAAAGCTGAAGCTGGAGGAGAACTACAAGAAGGAGTAGCTGGCTGCGTTTATTCGGGTCTGCTGGAAGCGGGGAAATGTTACGCTCGGGTTTGGGACTCTTGCTGCAGGCTGAGGACTCCTCATCCAAAGTCCAATAAATAAATGTTTTGAAAATGTCTACTTTTATGAAAACGAACATCCAAGCCATATCATTCAACAAAAAAAAAAAAAAGGGGAAAAACAGGCTAAATGGTAGCAGACTGAAGGTTAATCAGAAATGCTTCGATGCTTCATGCTAAGCTACGAAATGGATATTCGCATGTAGCAGAAGAAATACGACTACAGGGACAGACATTTAGGTAGTTGGCGAATAAAAATAATGCAAACTGTGTCGCTACGATTTGTAGCTACTCGGCCACTGTGAGGGCAGCTTAGTTTTGACAGCATTAGTTAGCACATGCTAATAATGTCTTTTGTGATTTTTGTGTGTGTGTGTGGGGAGGGGGAGGGGGGCACAAACTGAAATTTAATATGTACTGGAGTAAAATGTGATCCGTTTTAAGGCTTGGACTACAAAAATGTTTGTCTTATTTGTTTTCGCTTCCCTTTCGTTGTCAACTTCACACTCTTATTGTGACAAGAACCGAAACTGTTTGCTATAAACACTCAAGACTCCAAAACACAACTCATCTTTTCACTGACACAATGTACTGTATATAAACAGAATGACACATTCAAGTCAATCTTGGGTGCTGTTGGCTGTCGTTACGTTTGGCTGTTTTATGTCCAGTGGCGCGACCCAACGCTGGTTATACAGAAAGTGGTTGTGTTCTCTCCCTCGCCCATCTAACTGCTCATTTTAAGAGCGACGTTGCTAAAAGGTAAACCGAATTTTACTTTAGGAAGTGCTGAGCTAGCTGAGGTCAAAGATGATCATATACCGGTCCATTTGGACACAATTTCGTCGCCCTGGGTAGTTTTATTAGGCTTGGCCAGAGCAAGAGCCTTACCATCGAGATTTAGCGCAAAATGAGATCGGTGTATCTAACCAAGATGCACATGCGCAAGAAAACACCTCCGGGACTTATAGTTGAATTGTACAAATGTCATCTTGATTTTATTTGACAATGTAACACTACATGTATTTGAAATGCACACTACTGACGCCTACAGGACATGGGGGGGAACTGCAACTAACCAAACGGGAAAAACATTTATTTGTTTGAAAAGTTTAAAAACTAGCCAATGATGTCGACATGACTTAAGTGGAACTGCAACGAGATGAAGGGTGTTCCCAGTTCCTTCTTGATGTGTTTTGACACTTGACAGCAGGTTGAAATTCAAGCTAACAGACAACGTTTGAGGGACTTTAGTGGAACGGCATAAACGCCGTCTTGATTTGTTTTGACGGTTGACAAAAGTTTGAAATATGCGCTAACAACATCTGCAGGACCTAGATGGGACTGCAACTAGCCAAACGGCCCAAATGGTGTCTCCTTGATTTGTTTGGACATAGAACATCTTGAAACATGCACTCGGAGACGCCTCCAAGACTGATGTGAAACTGCAGAAACGTCATCAATTTCATTTGTTTTGACAGTTGACAAGTTCGAAACACGACTTCAGTGGCACTTTGGCTGAACGATGTAAACGTCGTCTTATTTGCGGTCGACATGAATATTACAGAAATACAGCAGTTCAATCTGGACTTTTTTTTTAACACGATTAATTTTGTGATCCTACTTGAGCACGTTTAATTGTATATTGTATATTGTAATAGACAGCCGCCTGTTAACTGTAAGAGTGGTCTCCAGCACATAAGTCAGCGTTACCTCTCACGAAAACTGATACGTTCTCATACACACAACAGAAACATGTATTTCAGTTTTTCATTTGAGATATCAGTACGTGAATATTTTGCACACACTTTTTTTGGACAAAAAAACTAAAACAAAACATTTTTTCCCCCAATCGATTTGGGCGGAGATGACAATGATGGCCTCCCTACCTGCTCGTCGACGGGGTACACATCGAACAAAACTTCGCGGCTTCCATCTTTCGGGGTCGCTTCGGAGCCCCGGGTGGTGACGTCACTGGTTCGGGTCCACAAAATTGCGCTCACACGTGCAGCGTCGGCTTTAATCTTTGTACAAAAGATGACGTCACTGGCGCGCGCCCAACGTCTGTCTGTGGTGGCCCATGTGTCGCCGTGACGTCACACTGTGAATGCGAGTGAGCGACTCGAGCTCCTGTGTTGTGAGTCCTCTTGTTACTCGGCTCCTGCAAGAGTTACACAAATACTCCATTTGTTATTTTGTCATCTATTTGAATGCTTACAATGCTGAAAAGAATCGCAGTCCTGCAAGAGTTACACAAATACTCCATTTGTTATTTGTCATCTATTTGAATGCTTACAATGTTGTAAAGAATCGCAGTTTTTTTTCCTTTTTTGCCTACACAGGTGAGTCACACTGACATTTACAAGTTCACATCTCAATGAACGTATGATTATGAAGAAGTGTTGCACGAATATTACTTTGGTAGGGTGACTAGAATTTGGTGAAATGTTTAAATATAAAACATGAGAGAGAAAAACCGCAACAACAACAACAAAAAAACGAATGACTAATAACATTCTTTAAAATGCTAACATGTATTCCGCATAAATATGACTTTTTCTGTTGTCCACCCCCCCCCCCTCTAGAATTGACCTTGGACTCTCAGTCACATTCAATGAGGAAATTCTGAGTCTCAGCAAAACTTGTTTTTGCTCCACAAACCTCATCTCCATTGAGATTTTGACGTTTCAGTCATCAGTCGTCAGGCGTTGTCAAAATCGATGACGTCGTCCGACTCGTGAAATTGTGTCCAAGCCACCTCGAGATGGAGGCCGAAATTTTCCCGAAGGAAGTCATCCTGGAGCTGGTGAAAGCCAGCTTTGAGCAGATCTCGGCGGCCCAGTGGGCTCTGCTGGTGGCGGGAACCCCCGACTCGGAGACCAAGGCCATCATCGCCGACACCATTGGCGACGTGATCCAGAGGATCTCCTCGGACGTGGTGAGGCACCTGCTGCCTGCCATCACCGATCACCTGCGAGGACAAGACTCTCAGACGCCGGTCAGGATCGGTGGAAAAGAAGGACTCGGAATCTGTTCTCGGGTAGGAATCGAGAAAAAAAAAAAAAAAAACTTGGTCAATTCTTTGCAAAGTCTGCCAGGTCGTACGAACGGATTTAACAGAAGGAAAATTGATTTAGAATCGGAATAAATGCAAGCTCACCCTTAATGTCGGCACCGTCATTTTCCAGCACTGCCTTAACCCTCTCAGGAATTTGAAATCCTCTTCCGCTCCTCCACGACAACGTCCCAAAGCTAGTGCACGTGAGAGGTCCACTCTCTTGACATCATTAGGGCTGAAAGTTTATTTTGGGTCTCTTCAGACCACAGTTTCGAGTTATCCACGTCATTGGTTGTCTTGCCTTCAGCGAACCGTTTGTGCGGCTTTCTTGCGCATCACGTTTGGAAAACTGCATTCATCCAGAATGAGAACTCCGCAGACCATTTTGATGCGGCGTACGGCCTCGGCACTGGCAGCCAAACCGCTGCGTCCGTTTTTTCTTCGGGGCGTTTGGGGGACATGAACGGCTAAATTTTCAGAGGATGGTGAACATACCCAATTATACAAGCGCTATATTGGCCACTTTGCATTGCAGAAACGTCTTTTCTTCATGGCTCATCCATGATCAGATCTAAAATACAAAGCGGTGCCCAAAAAAAAAAAATTCAATAATACGACTTCCCACCACTTTAGGTGATTAAGGCCATCGACCGCTGCAGTCCGAAGCTGAGCGAGTGCCTGACTGAGACCTTTGCGGCCGCCCTGGACCTCCCGCCGCAGAATTACGAGGGCGCGGGGGAGCTCACCACGCTGGTGGAGTCGGAGGTGAAGCACCGGGTGACGTCGGCCTTGTCCGTGGCCCGGAACACGAGCGAGTGGCCGTCGGACCCCACCCTCTTCATCCGGGGCACCATGTCCAGCGTGGGCAACCTGGCCTCCATCTTCCGCAAAGCCGTGGAGTATCTGAGGCAGGTGTTCGCCCGGGCCCGCACGCCGTGCGTGGTGCTGTGCGGCCGCTCCGCCATGAAAGCCGGCGACATGACGGACGCCGTGAGCGGGATCCTCTTAAAGTGGTCTTGCGCTAGTCAGGGCGAGAAACCCAAGGAAATGCCGATCGACGTCGAGACAGTGAGCCAACACTCTGACCACTTGTACGTGGTGACCGAGAGCCCCGGCTCGGGGCTCACGCAAAGCGCTCAGCTGACCGCGTTGGACATAACCAGAAGCATCATCCAGGAACCCTTCGGTGGCTCCGGAGACCGCGCGGAAAGACTGACGCGCTTCAACCTCAACCTGAAGCTCATTTCCAACAAAGTCAAGAATTTCTTTAACTCGCAGGAGACGGCCGGCGCGCACGGCAGCCTCGCCATGCGCAAGTCGCGCTTCTTTAAGTTTGCGCGCATGCAGTTTGCGCGCATGTTGGGAGGACTCAAGCGCGCCTTCAAGAACCAGGAGGGTTGTCTGGTGTGCCTCAAGCCGGACCAGCAAAGGTCCCCGAGAGGGGACTCCAAAGGCACCTTCAGGTCCAGCACCTTGCACGTCAGGCCGTCGCAGCATCCCAAGCTTGAGTTCGAGGCCATCCAAGAGATGGTGGCCAAGCTGTTCGAAGACCTCAGCAAGCTGGAACCGGAAGCCCGCGCCGCCAAAATCCAGCGCTACATGGACGAGAAGCTGCGGAGCTTCTCTCAGGATCTCACCTCTCGCCTGTACGAGTACATCATGTCCTGTCAGAGCGAAGTATACGAGGTGCCCTCCAGCCGCTCCAACACGCCTTTCGTGGACTCGGTGCTGTGGGGCCGGCGGGGGAAGAAGAACTGGGACGGCGGGCAGAAGTTCTCCCCCGAGGTCCTGTACGCCATGACGGAGGACGCGGCCTGGAGGTTCCTGCAGCAGCTGCTGCTCTGGCTGGAGACGGAGGACGGCGAGACGTACGCCGACGAAGTCTCCGGCGCCGTCGGCGAGATCAACCAGCTGGTCGTCACGGCACTCAACACGGGCGATGACCTGGAAGACGAGCTCTCCGGAGAAGGGAGCTCGGATGAGGCGGCGAAGGACGACGGCCGGAGATTTTCCTCCAACGTCCGCGAAAGCCGCGCCAGGACCTCGGCCTCTTCCGACTCGGAACCCCTGTCCTTGAAGGACCTAAGCGAGGTCTTGGCCTTCACGCTCGCAACGCAGCTGGGCCACCGCCTGCCCAGGAAGTGCAAGAGGTCTCTGAACCCGGACGCCCTGATGCTGGTCGTGCAGCATCTGTCGTCCAGGGCGCTGCAGGAGATCAGCCCGGGGCACATAGACAACATCGAGACGCTGGCCAACGTGGAGGAGGTGATCGTACCCGTGGTGAAAAATCTGCTGGCCGAGTTCGGCACGCCCGATAAACTGGTGGAGGCCGTGACGTTGGACGAGGCGTATTTTGACGACGTCGTCATGAGGCATCTCACGGTGCAACTCAAAGCCCCCAGGGATGTGCCCCCCAGCCCCTTGTCATCCATCATGTGCTGCTATCCGTGTCGCTGATCCCATCGGACGTATCGGTCGGGTAGTTCGCGTGACCCCGACCGTCACAAACTGCAAAATCCAGCGCCCCGAGTTCCGAACCGAAGGTGCCGGATGAATCTTCGACTCGCTCAGCTACAGACACGGACTCCGTTGGACTGGAGTTGCCCGCTCACCTTTTCCAACATGTAGAGATACGGTGGGTTTGCAGTGACCTCAATGCTTCAATCGGGGCTTCAACCCGGGGCAAAAAGCGGCAAAACGACACTTTTGGGAGGAATTAAAGGAATCAAACCTTGATTCTTCAACTTTTTTATTCATCCATACACCGACTCCTCTCCACTCAGACCCTGCACAGCTTCAGAGGGAAGTTCTCGGTGATCAGGTGATCGTCATGGAGCACGATGACAACGTTGACTTCAAACTCTGCGAGGAAAACGCGTATCTTACTTCATCATACGAACCGCGAGATGCCGGCGTCATGACAAACGCTTGCGACGCGATCGCATGGATTTTTTTTTTTTTTTATTCTTGTATTTCCATATGTAAGTGGAGTAGTTACTCCACCCCAGGGGTGGGCAAAGTGCAGCCCACCAAGTATTTACATAATCAAGAGTTGTGTCATATTTTGTGCATTCATTTATGTCGGGAAAATAATGTATTCATTTTTGTTATTAATTTATATGAAAACTAGAAACCTGGGCGAGACACATCCACCACGAGGGACAAGATTAGACCCCTGATACTGGAGCCGAGTACCCGTGAGTGTCATGGGAGTTCAGAGAAAATGTGTCATGCATGTGAGAAAAGATAATGCGGGTCACGGGGTTGAATGATGAAAAAAAAAAAAGCCACTTGATGTGCAACTCAAGCTATGTGGTGAGTCAGCGCCACTCCCAGTGTTTTTCGTACTCGTATATCTGTGAATAAATTACTTGCCATCAAAATACCCCGACCTTTGCTTTTGTTTCATAAAAGGCTCATTTTCTCCGCTTTTTGCTCAGAAACGCGTGTTTTTGGCAAGCCGTGCTCTACCACATGAATGCGGGGACCTCTACTTTGAAAACGGCGGGCAGTGAATGAGTTGCATGTCAAAATGTGAAAAGCCTACTGACCGACTTTGAAGTTGGTGGTCTCCAGGGTGGGACAGGTGAAGAGCCTGGGGAACACCATGTAGATGGGAATGGGCAGCCCGCGGCACACGTCGCCCTCGGCTATCTGGATGTTCTGGATCTCGGTGGCGTCTCGGGCGTAGCCTTCGGCGCAGCCTGGACAAGAAGACATTCGCGACAGGCGTCTCCAAATTTAAAAAAACAACTCACAAAATACTGAACGTTGAACATTTTATTTGATCGCTTTGTCAGAAATTGTAAACTGCTTTAATGTCAACTGAAGGCACGTGGCCGCAAACAAAAAGTGCTCCTTGCGCATACTGGACATGTGCAAAATCTAAGGGGTCGGGGGAGGGGGGGGGCCCTCGGACCTCTTGTTGATTTGTCCATCCACGAGATAGCGTTCTTCCACTTTTCTGACAAAAAAAAAAAATATTCCAATGAAACTAAAAGAACATGGCAAAGGTCCTTACCGCAGGTCTCCACTCGAATCAGCTGAAGCTCGACGCTCTTGATGGCAACGTCGGAACTCTCCACCACCACCTCTCCGGTCAGCGGGCGGCTTACGACGCAAGTGGTGTTGTCCAGGTGGCCTCGGATGAAAAACCTCGGCAGCAAACTCCGCTGAGGACCAAGACGGTGAGTGAGTGAGTGCGTTTGACTCTTGACAGCAAGCGGGCGGCTTGAACGGGAATTAAATCAAAAGGTTTGCGCCACCTCGCGGATGTTCTGCAGGGTGTCGGGGGTGATGGTGAAGTTGACCGGGGTGGCGCCGAGGTTTACTTTCTGGGGCTAAAGATGGTTAGAAACGAACCTTTAGAGATAACGAGCGTGCACATGGAACAAATTCAACTCGCATGTCAAGGCATCGCCGTATACCGAGTGAGTGCATTTTCCCAACCTGACAGTGCACGATGAACTCGCAGCTCCTGCTGAGGTCTTTGGCCAGCAGGGAGCGCTTCAAGTCACAGCGGAGAGTGTACTGCATGCAACCACCAACATTTGGGCTATGTTAGAATTTTGGCCGAGTCAAAGTGGTGCTTGACTCAAAATACGCAGGACTATTATGGACAAATGCAGAGAAACGGCGAGAACCGAGGCAGACGGGAAAACGGCCCATGTGCTTGTGTTGTGCGCTAACCTGGATGTTGATGAAGACCCCGTGGTAGGTCTCGTACAGAGCTTTGTTGCCTTTGGCATTGAGGGGGAACTCGAAAGGGATCTCGGTCTTGCCTCCTGGGATCTTGCCGGCCTTGGCCACCTCGATGTTGCAGCTGATCAGCGAGATGGGCTGCAGAAGCAACGTCAAATGCAGTCAGTGGACTTGCAATCAAATCAAGACAACCAAACGAGTGAGTGATGATTAAAATCGTTCAACTTTAGAGTGCATGATCAACGTCTGTGCTTTTTTTTTTTTTTTTTTTACATTCTGTGGACGTCCACTTCTGTGCCTTTCTGTGACTCTCTGTTGAGTGTGTTGCAACTGTAACCGCCTGAAAGTTTCACAGTGGCAACAGAGAGAGAGGTAGGGACTGGAAAAGTCACAGAAAGGCAAACAAGTGGAGATCCTTGAGCTCCAGTGCCCTAACAAAGACAGTACGACAAGAAATACGAGGTCGGGGCTTTCTGACCTCAGCTATTTGAACACATATCATTATTGATCTCTTTTCGATTTACCTTGACTGAGTTGTAGAAGGCCTCAAAGACACCCACGCTCTTGGAGCTCAGCTGCAGGTTGACCAGGCCCTCCATGCTCAGGGAGATTCCATGATGCTGCATCGCCTCCTTGCATGACAGCACGATAATGCCGGCCACAGACTCCTGCACGATGAGAGACAAACACGTTACCTACTGCTTGTGTCACCTGTTAAGACAGAACCCGATCTATTACTGATTACTGATTATGAATCCCAAATTAATAAAGGGGTACACATGTATTATTTACAAAAGAAGAACTTTAGATAGATAGATAGATAGATAGATAGATAGATAGATAGATAGATAGATAGATAGATAGATAGATAGATAGATACACACACACACACACAGGTTCTGGGAGGAAAAAGCTCGTTTGAGTGTGAAGAAAAGTAAATGAGGCGCAAGTCATGAGATAAGGAGGATGGCGCCGTCTCCTCTGTCAAACTTAGCATAGCCCATTAGCATCACTTCACGATCCACGTACTTACACCCTCATGATAAACTTTGTTGGCCCTTTTTAGTCGTATGTCCAACGTGACGCTCATCTCCGGTCGTCACACGCCAACCCAGTCTTTAGAGGGTAAAAATTTCATGCTGAAGAACTTGACTTGTTCGGGGTTTTTGGCCGAGTTAGATAGTTTACGTGCTTACTTCCGGGATATAAGCGGAAACAAGGCAAGTCTCCCAGAGACTTTTCCGGTAAAGTTTTCGAAGTAAAAGCGAATTAATCTCATTTATGATAGTGGGCGCTGTTTGCATCTTGTTTCCGAACCATTTTATCTGACAATAAAAATGCTATGTTGTCTTTTGAAAGTGAGAAGATTCTCTCTGCAAATAGAGAAAACAATTGTTTTTGTAGTTTTATTTTGAAATGCGTTATTTAGTTACCCTTACAAGCATTAGATTTTTCTGTTACAATAAATCAATATACAGGATATGCATACATATCCATACATTCATACACATCTTAAGTGGCTACAAAACCAATTAGTATTTTCGAAATTCACGTTAAAATCGACTCGTTCACATATTACAATTTAATCCCCGAAATAAGTCCCTTTATGTTGTCATAATTTTACAAGAAAAAGAGCAATTTTCTTGCAAGGGGCACACGTTTTTCTTGATAAGCTCCCTTCCTCTAAAAAAACATGAATTTATTGCAACATTGTGACTTTTCTCTTAAATGGGCAACTTTCTTGTTTTGTTGGCATTTAGTGGTACACATGGGAGTTCTGTAAATTGCCGTAAGGATGACGAGAGAGGGGTCCTTGAGGGGGGGAACAACAAAAAAAACCCTGAGAACCGCTGGAAAAAGTTTATCGTGAGTATTTTTTTCGTGTAACACAATACTTTAAAAAGTATGATGTAGATCAACACTCATAAGAGAGGTGACATGTTTATCCTAAATTAGTAGTTGAGGAAACACAAGAGGACTACAACACAGGAAGTAAAGTCTTACACGATGTGACGTCACCACTGGTCATGGGCGACCACAGCCAGACGTCGCGAGTTCGCCAGTGACGTCACCTTTTGTACAAAGATCAAGGCCGACACTTCACCGGGGGGCAATTTGACGGAACCACTAGTGTTTGCGTGAGTTTGTATATATGGTTCTACGCAGTCTAAATGCAGTGGACCCAAACACGTGACGTCACTTTCCTGCCGACCGAAGCGACCCCGAGATGGAGCCGGATCGTTTACTCAAGGTGGATGCCATTCTAGAGCTGGTCAAGTCCCGCTTCAATCTCATCTCCGCGGCCCAGTGGGCTTTGCTGGTGGCCGGAACTCCGGATTCGGAGACCAAGGCCGTTTTGGCCGATACGATCAGCGACGTGATCCAGAGGATCTCCTCCGAGGTGGTGCGGCAGCTGCAGCCCGCCATCAGCGAGCACCTGCGAGGACAAGCGTCTCAGGCTCAGGTCCGTACAGGTGGAAAAACTGCTCACGCTCTGCACTCGAGTACAAGTACAGATACTCAAGTAAATAAAACGGGCTAAAGTAGAAGTATAGGAAAGTACAATAGTTAAAAAATATTTGTACAATTAAAATAACAATGAGAAGAACAGACAAAAGTGCTTACGCTGTGGGCTTCTGTTAAAGTACAGATTTGAATTGAATTGAATTGAATACAACTTTATTGTCAAATGTGCTGTATGTGTACAGCACAGATGAAATTTCTTCCCTCTCAACATAAAACAGATACTTGTGTATAAAAGACTGGTCAAAGTAGTCAACTCACCAGTACTTAAGAAGGAATTAAACTCTGTATTCAAGTGCAAATAAATATATGAAAAAAAATGGCAAAAGTATGAGTATAACGTTAACTCCAGTACCTAGGTCAAAACAAAACAGTCTGATATGTACAAAAGTAAAACATTTCTGTTCTGTGAGTTGACAACGATAATCACTCTGAAAATATTTGTGAAAGAAATACTCTTGGTAAAAGTGCAAGTACAAATTCAGCCCCCACTTTTTATAGTTAAATGACCAGACTGGCAAAAATACTCACTATTCAGAATTACTGACACCCATGTCCAGAATGACTGCGAAAAGTAGCCAAAAGTTTGATAAAAACAGTCCTCAGTTCCCTTCAAAAGTACAAATAAGTTGTGTCAGTTACAGAGTTGAAAATTCGACCTAGAATACAGTAACAAAGTCAGCGTACTCCATAACAATGGGTGGAAAAACCCACACGACCTCTTTCTCTTTCTATTTTTTGGGGTGCCGTTTCTTCATTTGCGAGGTTGAAAAAGGGGACGGGCCTTTCTAAACAAAGGCGTAGAAAGTACAGATGGGTTTTCAAATGGAGTAAGACTAAAAAGTGGCCCGAAAAAGAGACACCTGAAAAATCTACTGACCGTAACGACTTGCACCGGGTTACTCCCCACCACCGCAGGTGAGCAATGCCATCGACCGGTGCAGTCCGAAGCTGAGCGAGTGCCTGACTGAGACCTTTGCGGCCGCCCTGGACCTCCCGCCGCAGAATTACGAGGGCGCGGGGGAGCTCACCACGCTGGTGGAGTCGGAAGTGAAGCACCGGGTGACGTCGGCCTTGTCCGTGGCGCGGAGTGCCGCCGAGTGGCCGTCGGACCCCGTTCTCTTCATCCGCAGCACCATGTCCAGCGTGGGCAACCTGGCCTCCATCTTCCGCAAAGCCGTGGAGTATCTGAGGCAGGTGTTCGCCCGGGCCCGCACGCCGTGCGTGGTGCTGTGCGGCCGCTCCGCCTTGAAGGCCGGCGACATGACGGACGCCGTGAGCGGGATCCTACTCAAGTGGTCCCGCGCCAGCAAGGGCGGGAAAGCCGTCCCGTTCGAACCCGCGGTCGACGTGGAGAAACTGAGTCAAGACTCGGAGATGGCGGGCATGGAGTACGTGAGCGAACAAGCCGACCCTCGGGCCAAGCAGAGCGCTCTGGTGGCCGCGCTGGACATCACCAAAAGCATCATCCAGGAGCCCTTTCGCGGGTCCGGGGACCGCGTGGAAAGCCGCCTGACGCGCTTCAATCTCAACCTGAAGCTCATCTCCAACAAAGTCAAGAATTTCTTCAAGTCGCTCGAGACGGCCAGCCCAGACGGCCACAACATACTGCGCAAGTTCCGCTTCTTCAAGTTTGCGCGCTTGCAGTTTGCCCGCATGCTGGGAGGACTCAAACGCGCCTTTAAAAACCAAGAGGCCTGTCTGGTGTCCCTCAGGCCGGATTACCCCAAGTCCCCCAAAGACAGCAAAGGTGGGGGCGCTTTCAGATCCAGCACCTTACACGTCAGGCCGTCGCAGAATCCCGCGTTTGAGTTCGAGGCCATCCAGGACCGGGTGGCCAAGATGTTCGATGACCTGAGCCAGATGGAGCCGGACGTCCGCGAGGCCAAAATCAAGCGCTACATGGACGAGAAGCTCCGGGGCTTCTCCCAAGAGCTCTCCTCTCGCCTGTACGAGTACCTCATGTCCTGTCAGAGCGAAGTATACGAGGTGCCCTCCAGCCGCTCCAACACGCCTTTCGTGGACTCGGTGCTGTGGGGCCGGCGGGGGAAGAAGAACTGGGACGGCGGGCAGAAGTTCTCCCCCGAGGTCCTGTACGCCATGACGGAGGACGCGGCCTGGAGGTTCCTGCAGCAGCTGCTTCTCTGGATGGAGACGGAGCCACAAGGCGAGGAGACGTACGCCGACGAAGTCTCCGGCGCCGTCAGCGAGATCAACCAGCTGGTCGTCACCGCCCTCAACGCCGACGAAGACCAGGAAGAGCCCCCGAGGAGCCAGCGAGTGAGCGAGAAGACGCTTCCCAAAGACGAAGGGAGAATCCAGAAGAGCGTCTCCGCGGCTTCCGACTCACAGCCTCCCCAAACACGGCACTCGGCGCTCACGGTCGTCCCGGGGCCGTCGACCAATCTTTCTCCCAGGTGGGATCGCACGGCGTCCTTCAACGTGAAGCTGACCCGCCTCCTGGCCTCCACGCTGGCCACGCAGCTGGGCCAGCGCCTGCCTCGGAAGTGCAAGCAGTCTCTGAAGATGGACGCCCTGATGCTGGTCGTGGATCATCTGTCGTGCAGGGCCGTCGAGGAGATCAGCCCGCATCACATGGACAACATCGAGACGATGGAGAACCTGGAGGAGGTGATCACGCCCGTCGTCAAGAAGCTCCTGGCCCACTTTGGCTCGCCGACCAAACTGGTGGAGGCCGTGACGTTGGACGAGGCGTCTTTTGATGACGCCGTCTTCAAGCACCTCCTGACCCAACTTACCACCGTCAGGGAACAGCCCAAAGTCAGCAAGGGCCTCAGCTTCTTCTCATCCGTGGCCAAGCTGTGCTCTCGCTCCACGTGACCCCACCTTCCTTACCTTCTTTCAGGAGTCGCTCCCCAACACTCTTCCCGCTGCGCGTGTATATAGTGTGGATACTTTTCTCATGCGAGCCGACAGTCATACACGGTGGCGTCTACTTACGAGTAACCCCACCCATTTGTTTTGAGATGACAAGGCATCACGGGCGAGTTCCGTTTTCGTATTTGCGTTGCGAGCGTGACAATTTATTCAAATGGGGAAAATTGATTTGACGGACGCATCGAATCGAGTGCTTGGTCACGGAATGATTTCAGCTTGTAAGTCGAGGGAGCGCTGTCAACACATGTATCATGTACTTTTTTTCCGATCGTATCGTTGATAATATTTATTGATATTCTTTTATGCCCACGTCCGTTTGGGGATGGGACTTTTATGGGCTGCGGTTTTTCGGTTTCGCAATTCACTTCACATGGACTGTGCGTGCGTGCGCGTTGACCCGCTCTCACAGTCGCAGTCAAACCACTCACACGAGCTGGGGATCTGAGAGACGGAAATTTGAATTGGCACTAGCTTCATTCAAATCTCCGCCGTGGATTCATTTTGGTTTCACTTATGAAGACGAGGGCGTGGGAGTGAAAACTTTGGACAGATGTTTTACTATCGGCAAGTGCTGTCGTGTACTTCTAAGGAAACAAGCAGTATGACCAAGCTTCTCCTGTCGATATCATGAGATACCGCGGAACCTCGATTTAATCGACATGGCTCCAAATGGACAAAAAAAAACACTGTTCAGTCCATTTCCCTTCACTGATTTAATCGACATGGCTCCAAATGGACAAAAAAAACTGTTCAGTCCATTTCCCTTCACCTTTTGGACAGTAGCTGTGAACCTCTCTGAGTGACGGAATTGGCCAGAGCGCCAGTAGACGGCGCTGTGGTGCAACCAATGGAGATGAGCGACAAGTTGTCACTGTCGCAGGCCCACGGTGGTGCCTCCGTGGCAGCCATGTTGGTAGTGGCGACAGTCCCAACAAAGGCAAACGATGCAAAGCACTGACGGGAGCTTCTCCGCACCACCGTAGCCGCGCAGCTCAAAAAGAGCATCGAGTATCCCGCCGGCTCCACAAGCATCAGCACAGTTGATTGGGATAAACTTTTCCCACACTTTCAAGCGTTTGTTTATTTATTTCCAGTGATTTTGTGATGGGTGTTTTTAGGCCATGGGAAAAAAAAAAACAGTTGGCCTCCCCCTCAATTAGTCCAGCTTTGAAGTGTCATGACTGCCAGGAAAACAAACTTGACTTTTATGAGTCATAGCTAAGAACATCTACATCAGGGGTGTCAAACTCATTTCACATTGTGGGCCACATACGGACTCGGTAGATGTCAAGTGGGCCGGACCATTAACATTATACCATACTGTGCTATGAATCACCAAAATATCATCTCTTTCCTTTGTTTTGGTCTCAAGAAGCATTGATTGGCGCTTTCATATCATTTGCTGCGTTGGGTCTATCTCGGTGACAGACTGAGACTGCTGTTTTATTCTCCGATCAAAACAATGTTGTCTTCTACTGTGATCAAAACAGTGTGCCCCCTAGCGGATAATCCACGAATTGCATTTTATTGAAAATATTCATTCTGTGTCTTTAATGCATTTTTTTTTCCACTTTTAAATCATCCCGCGGGCCGGATCAAACCTCCTTGGGGGCCGGTTCCGGCCCGCGGGCCGTATGTTTGACACCCTTGATTACATAAAAAGGGCGAAAGGGCAAATTAAAATAAGAGAGGACATCACGGAGCCTGGCGCCTCCTACCGGGTAGCACAGGGAAGTCTTTGAACCTGGTTTCCTTCCGGCAGTTGGGACACGTGCTACTATCCTTCAGCCACGACGCGATGCACTGAACACAAAACACCGCAACATGTGTTCAAAGCGATGCACGGACCACAGATGGTGTTGACACTCCACGCCAACACAAAATATGCGGCTTAGTCCGACTCACTTTCTCATGGAAGGCGTGTCTGCACTCCAAAACCAAGCAGTGGGGTGGACTCATTTCTTCATGACAGATGGCACAAGGGTCCTCCAAGTTCAGCTGCAATCACACACACAAGATGCAAACGATAGGAGCTTCTCAAACTTACTCAATATGTTTGTCGGCAGCAGTAAACGACAAATGCAAACGTCCAGCGCAGTGCAGGAGTCAAATACCAACGGATTGTACTTAACAGTGAAATATAATTGAAGCGGATTGTACAGGGTAACAAAAATAAAAAAAATACAGCACCATAACATGTCGAGGCAAACTGAGTCATTCACACGTGATATATTTGAGTTTACCGCATTGGCGCCGAGCGGTGGTTGGTCCCGTGACTTCTGCCAGATCGAAGAGGGCTCGACGGGAGGTGGTGCAGCCGCAGCCCCCGCCGCAGCGTTGGTGGATGTCGCCCCGGATGCGATCGCCTCCTGAGAGGACACGATTGTCAATGTGATGAAATCAAGGCACGAAGCTTGACTTTGAAATGCTCGACCTTCTGGTCCAGGATCAGCTGGCTCACTGCACTGACCACGTCCTGCAAGCTCATGTTGCTCAGACTGCCGCCATTGGCTGACCGCAGATCCTTAAAAAACTTCATCAAGTCCGACCTTGGGGGAGAAAAAAAAAAAAAGTTAGGCTGGCTGGTGTGATTTTATTCATACACGAAACGAAAATGGAAAATGTTACTGCCGATGTTAGTATTTTACACGGTAGCTGCAGTGGAGCCGAGACCAGAGCGAAAATCAATTTGTTATGCTCCCGAAATAGCATCATACAATTTAATCTGGTGACCATTTTGTTTTCACCTGGTGTATTCGGGGAAGATGGTGCCGAGGCTCTCCACGGCCTTGTCAAGCACGGTGTTTCCGGCGGCCTGCGTGGGTCCGGCTACGTTCCGAGTCTCTGCGGCCGCGGCCTGCGCGGCAGCTACGGTCGACTGCGGCGGAGGCGGGAGAACAACGCTCAACGCGGCCACATCGGAAGACAGCTGCAACGTTTTACAGAAGAGGGCAGAGTTGAGACCATTTCCAAGCTGGAAATCGATGCTCATCAAACTTTCTCATTCGGTGTCTTACCAGAGAAACTTGAGGATCGGTTTGGTGACTCCCGAGCAGCTCTTTTACCTCTTGGCCACGTTTGACTTGCTCCACGTGGTCCTTGTACTGTATCTGGGGTTACATTTAAGTGTCAGTGATGACTGAGTTCTCTTGTATCTTGGATTTGTGACTACTTGGGGAGGGTAACGGGCTTCGTACACAACACATCCAAAAAGCAGAAAATGGCACACGGCTGCCATTTGTACGGAACAGCAGTACGGTGGTTACGTTGAGCATTTGATCCCATTTGCGTACCTCCAAAGCAGCAATTTTCTGCTCCAGCTCTTGGATTTTGCCTCCCATGTTTTGTCTGCTGGCTTCCAGGGAGGGATATCTGCCAGTGAAGTGTCGAGAACCACTTCAAGTTAAGTCAAGGCCAATCCTAAAACAGCCCTCGTCACATATTTCAAGTCTTTGCTCCGCTCCTTACTGTTGCACGCATTTGTCCAGCTTGAGCTGCAGAGTCTTGGCGTCAGCCAACCGAGCGCGGAGGCCGTACAGGCGCTGATCGCGACTGCTCTCCAACATGGACAACTGGTGGAGCAAAAAAATCGGGATGACTTTTTGTTTTCTTTCTTGACTCCAAAGATTAAAAGGTTGCTGGCTCCTGCTCTCGACTGCGCAAAGTTACAAATGATTTCAAAACGGCTTACTTGGGCACTGCGGGACCTTCTGTGCGCTGCGGCGATGGAGTTTCTGCAGCGCTTGATCTCATCCTCCAGACTCATCTTCTCGGCTGCTGACTGATTGCTTGAAGATGGATTTTTTTTTTTAATGGTCTTATTAGCATCCCATTTAAGTCTTCTTTCTCATCAGCGTATGGCGCGTCAACGAAACGTACCTTAGGTCCAAGAACCTGTTCAACTTCTCGTCATAGCTGGTCTTGTTTGCTCGAATTTGTTTGCTGAAACTGCATGTGATCAAATAGGAACGCTGTTTAGATCACGGGCGTCCAAACTACGGCCCGGGGGCGGTTTGCGGCCCGCCATCCATTGTTTGGACACCCCGGGTTGAGATTGAGGCCACAACTGCAACAGTTTTGTGTGGATTTGCATACGGACCTCGCCCCTTCCTCCACCAACTTTTCCGTCTCAATCTTGAGGGCCTTCAGCACCTCCTGGTTGGCTTTCTTCTCCTTCTGGTCCCTCTTCACCTCCTCCTCAAGCTTCTGCTGGAACAGGCTCATCTCTTTGTCCGTAACCTTGACGGGGGCGGGGGGGAGACAACGTGGCGGTATTTGAGACACGAGCCAGATCTGCCGGTTCCACATTGCGTTCTGGAGCTCACTTTTATGTTTGTACTGATCTCCTGGATGTCTTTCTCCAAGGACGCCAAAGTCATCTGGTGCTTCTGATCCACCAGCTCGCGGTCGTGGGCTATTTTACTTATCTGCTGCCCCATTTCTTGAATCCGCTTGACCCTTTTGTTGATATCACCCTGGAAGACGATTGCTCGTTGAACAAAGGTACAGTACAGCATCTGGAGAGTAACTCGTACACAAGAACTGACCTGGAGGCTCTCGTAAGGCTGCAAAGGTTCCGTGTTCACCGCAACACAGTCCTTGACTGCTTGATATGTCTGAGGGAGGACGGAAAACAAAGCGCAGTGTGTTGTGTGTGTTACGTGCTTCCATCGTCCACTGAATATGATTCATTGGTCGATTAGTAGCAATTCCGGTATGACAACATTGCCCAAGTTCATCCACGGCAATGCTGGCATCTTACCTGTACTTCTGCGTGTTTCTTCAAAATGGCTTTAGCCGGTGTTAAACTTAAATCACTTGTATCGGAATACGTTTCCCAGGCCTCGTCCACCTGGCCAGCAGAAAGATCCAGGGATCGAAAGGGGTTGGGCGAAAGCTTGCCGCAGCCCGAGTTATTGACAGGGCCTTTGCCGATCGGTGGGAGGAGTTTATCCATATCGAAAGTTATATAAGGCTCGGCGTTACGAAGATTTGCGCCGGATGAAAATACGTGCGGAGGCTGCGGGAGGTCCAAGCGGGCGGCCGCCTGCAGGGCCGCGGCCCACTTGGCCAGACCCACGCGGCCACCGATGTCGCTGAAGCGAAGGGATTGCAGCAGGAAGCGCTCCAAGCCGCCCGCCTGTTGGATCTTGGCCTGAGCCACGGGCGGGAAGTTTTCGATCTCGCCTCGCAGCAGCGGGTCGTCGGCCGGCAGGGGGCCGTGTTCTTCCAGAACCTGCGCAAAATACCTACAAGGGGAAAGAGGACCTTATGACTTGGGCTTTGAATTGCCCGTACGGTGAACCCGCACATATTCGCAGTTTCGCAAAACCCATCTTGGCCATCGATCTTGTCTGCCTCCTCAGAGGTCTGAAAAAGTCAGCCGCTGACCCCCTGCGGCTGAAAGAACTAATTGGCGTTTCGTTTTGATTGGAGAGAACTACTGAACTTCGTTTCGACCGGTTCACACGTATTGGTCAATGCTTTACAATAAAGCAAAATTGAAAATTGACTTGTGACTGATAAATAAATAAGTAGAATCGGGGTCCGCAAAAGTCGGACTCTGCAGGTTTGGCTTTTTAAAGATCGGTGATCGGCCAGAAAACTGTGATCGGTGCATCCCGGCCTCAATGAGTCACGGATTTTCGCTATTTGTTTCACAATTCTGATACCTTCTGGACCCACTCGCTTGCCATGACTCGCCAAAGAAATTTCATGATGAATTTTTAAAAAATGGGTGGGGCGGAATACCACTTTGCGTCGGTCTACCATTCCCACCTCGGTTGACCATCTGAGGCTTGTACTCACTCATACAAATTTTCCACGGTGAAATCCGGATTGTTGTCCAAAATCCGTTGAGCCTCCCTCGTGCGCCCCGTGCCGTAATACTGTTCCTCAAACTGGGCGATGGGCGTTCGAAGGTGGTGGGGAATGCTAAAGGGCTCGTCGGGGTCAAGGAAATATCTGCGGATGAAAACGACACGCTTCATTAGGGAAGCGATTCTGCCATCCCCGACCAGACGGCCTCGCGCTGGCCATGCCACTTACATCGGCTCTTCTTGGTCCCACTCATCCGCCGCATCATTTTCCCACCCGCAAATAAATGGAAGAACCTAAAGAAGATCAGTTCGGAGTGACAAATGACCCAACGCCTTGCTTCATGTGACAGCCAATACTGTAACTCGCCAATCACGATCCAGATGCTGAGGAGTTTGAAAAATCTTCCCAACCAGGCACAAGACTAAACAACTAACCTGCGGCTCTTTTTTTTTTCTTCGTCCTCGGCTCTTATTGCTCGCGGGAAAACTCTGAAAGAGGCAAAACGTGTTACTTGACACGGCAAAACTGTTTTGTCATCGGCGACAGACGGCGGCAAGTGTTGCGGCATGTGACGAAAAGGAACGGCTCCCGTGTTGCTTACATTTTGATTACCGGATTTCTTTAGAACAGAACAGTGTCCGTCTGAGGGAGAGAAAAACAAAAACAACATAGTTGAAAGTCACATGATGATGATTGGGCAAAAAGAAAATCTCAAGAAATATGAGGTGGAAATACGTACCTATCATACAAACAAAATATTCATCGAGTAAATTATTTAACGAGATGTTAACATCTTTATGCTCCTCGAGAGTCCAGATAAAAAGTCTCATTTCATGCGGCGGAGCCCATTTGACATATTTAGTCAAGTTGCTTGAAGTCAAGTCGGCGCCAGGGGGGTCGTGGTCAGAAATAATCTCTTTCAAAGGGGCAAAGGTCAACAGCGGGCTTAGGTCCAGTTCATCCAGGTGGTCTGCATTGCGTTCAACGAACGACTTGGCCGCCTTGAGATCTTGAAGACAGGAAGTCGAGTTTAAGAACACGAAAAGAAAAGGCATTTGTCAAAAACAGCCTTTGAATCCCAATTTTCTTTTTTTTTTTTTTTTTTTAAATGTAATACACTTGCTTCCATGATGAAAGCGCATTTTCAGATCAGCTGGTGACGAAAGCGTTCTGACCTGCATCGTCCAGCCGTCCCGCCCAGCGGCTGAGGTCGGCGTTAATATTCAAAGTATTTGAAAGCAGCTGGATGAAGGCGCGCGCCCAAACGCGATTCTTCCTCTGGAGGAGAAGCTCCGCGGCTTGATCCAGCGTCTCCAGGCGCTCCCGCTCCCAGTCCAGCATCTTGGCGGCCAGCCGGTTGCCCCCGCGCGGGGCCCGG